TCACCACTATTCGTTGTTCACCTCCCCCACCAAACTATGCTGCCAGGTACAGTAGTCTGGGAGCTGACCTTGCCTATAAAGACTGAGGTAAAAAGGGCATGATTAGCACCCTCAGTCTTTTTCTGCATCATCTATCGCTAGGTTGCCTCTTCCAGTCAGTAAAGGACCCCCACTTTCTCTGAACTTCCTCTTGTTGATGACATACTTGTAGAAACTTTTCTTGTTATCCTTCATGTTCTTTATTAGCTCCCACTCCAATTAGTGCTTTGGCTTTCCTGATTTCATCTCTGTATGTCTAAGCAATACTCTTATACTCCTCCCCCATCATTTGTCCAAGTTTCCATTTTTGTATGCTTCTGTTTTGTGTTTTAGCTCACTGATGATTTTCCTGCTAAGCCAAACCAGTCTCCTGCCATACTTACTAATCTTCCTGCACATTGGGATATTTCATTCCTGTGCCCTCAGTAAGGTTCCTTTAAAATACAACCAGCTTTCCCAGATTCCTTGCCCCCTCAGGCATCCTGCCCTACAATTCCCTGAGGGAGACAAAGTCTGCTTTTCTGAAGTCCATGGTCCTTCCTCTACTCCTCTATTTTCTTCTTGTCCTCAGGATCCTGACTTGAATCATCTATGTTTCCTACCAATTCTTCCTTGTTGGCTTCTCCAACACATACACCAGGAGGTTGTCCCCAGCACTCTCCAAAAATGTCACGAGTTGTCTGTGAACTACTGTATTGCCCTCCCAGCAGATGTCAGGGTGATTGAAGCCCCCAGAGAGAACCAATGCTCCATGATCTGGAAACTTGTGTTAGCTGCTTGAAGACAGCCTCATCCACCTCATCCTTCTGATCTGGTGCCTCCTATAGAAAACATCCACTATGACATCATCCTTGTTGCTTTCCCCTTTGACCTTAAGTCAGAGACTTTCAATAGGCATATCTCCAGTTTCATCCCAGAGCTCTGAGTAGTCATTAGGGATTCTGGTTTTCTCTGATTTAAAAAAAAAAAATCCCAAATTTTTTATATAAAACCCCACAAAATCCACGTTTGTCTGTGATTAAATGAAGTGAGAATTAAATCCACATTTTCCTGTCATTAAAATCAAATGCCACTAATGTATGCATGTGTATATATGTGTGTGTATATATAATTTCAAAAAAAGATAAATATTAATGGCATATTGTAAGTGAGTTACCTTAATTTCATGTCTACATCTTGAAGAGTGGTCTTCAGTGCACCCACCTTTGACCACAGATGCAAACTGATAAAGGCATAATCCCTCATCTGACCTGCCACATCTTGATGTTTCATAGATTTCATAGACATTGGGGCTGAAAGGACCTCGAAGATGATTAAGTCCAGCCCCTTGCCCCTGGGGCAGGAAGTCAGCCTGGGTCAAAGGATCCCAGCAAGATAAGTATCCAAATACTTCTTGAATGAGTCCAGAGTAGGTGCCTGCACCACTTCTGGAGGGAGTCTATTCCAGGTCTTGGGGGCTCAGACGCTAAATAATTTTTTCCTTGTATCCAGCCTAAAACAGTCTTGGAGGAGTTTATGACCGTTGGTCCTTGTTCTTCCTTGGGACGTTCTGGTGAACAGACGTTCTCCCAGATCCTGATGAACACCTCTTATATACTTATAAGCAGCCAACTGGTCCCCCCTGAACCTGTGCTTTTCCAGGCTGAAGAGTCCCATGGCTCTCAGCCTATCTTCATAAGGCCTGTTCTCTTGCCTTCTGATCATGCGTGTGGCTCTCCTCTGGACTATCTCAAGCTACTCCACATCCTGCTTGAATTGTGGAGCCCAGAATTGGATGAAGTACTCTAGCTGCGGCCTCACCAAGGCTGAGTACAGTGGGAGGATGACATCTTGAGATTTACTTGAGAAACATCTATAGATGCAAGCCAGAGTATAGCTTGCTTTGCCAGCTGTTACATTGTATTGGTGGCTCATGTTCATCTTGTGGTCAGTCATGACTCCCAAGTCTCTTTCAGCTGTGGTGCTAGCAAGCATAGCACTGCTGAGCCTATAAGCATGCTGCGGATTTTTTCTCCTGATGGGGAGTACCTTACATTTATTGGTATTGAATGTCATTAGGTTTGTATCTCCCAATTACTAAGTTTATCCAGGTCAGCCTGGATCACTAGCCTGTCCTCCGGTGTGGACTCTATGCCCCAAAGTTTAGTGTCGTTGGCAAACTTAGCCAATGCACTTCTGACTCCAGGGTCCACATCATTGATAAAGATGTTAAAAAGACCCGGTCCAAGGACAGAGCCTTGGGGGATGAAACTGGTCAAGGAGCACCATGGTAATTCACTACCATCAACCACTACTCTCTGGGTCTGACCTTGGAGCCAATTTCCCAGCCATCACACTGTGATGTAGCCGAGGCCACAGTTGGCCAATTTTTCCATGAGGAGGTCATGGGACACCAGATCAAAGGCTTTTTTGAAGTCTAGATACATGGTATCAATCTCTTCTCCCTTGTCCAGGTGATATGTCACCTGGTCATAGAAGGAGATGAGATTGGTCAGGCAAGATCTACCTGCAACAAACCCATGCTGGCTATCCCTCAGGATGTTGCCTTTGGCCAGCTTGTTCAGAAGGGTCTCCTTGATGATTTTCTCCAGAATCTTACTGGGGATTGTGATCAAGTTGATTGGCCTGTAATTCCTGGGATCAACTTTCTGCCCTTTCTTGAACATGGGTACCACATTAGCCTTCTTCCAGTCTTCAGGTACTTCACCTGAGTGCCATGAATTTTTGAATATTTTCGCCAATGGTTGGGCTATAACACCTGCCAACTTCTTGAGTACCCTAGGATGTAATCTGTCAGGACCAGCTGACTTGAAGGCATCCAGTCTCTTGAGGTCATCCTTTACTAGATCAACACCAGTGCTGGGTATAAATATGTCCTCACCTCACCAGGCAGGGCAGTCCCACTGGACTGGTGAAAGACCAATGCAAAGTAGTGATTGAGCAGATTGGCCTTTTCCTGAGTGTTGGTTATCAGCTGTCCCATTTGGTTCAGCAGGGGTCCAATATTACCCTTGCTTCTTTTCTGACTCCCTACATATCTGAATAAGAACTTTTTGTTATCCTTGATATGTGAAGCCAGATGGAGCTCAGTGGCAGCCTTAGCTTTCCTGATCTGCTCCCTACAGGTACAGACCAGTGCTGAGTATTCTTCCTCGGTGTTATTTCCAGCCTTCCATCCTTTATAAGCCTCTCTTTTGAGGCATAGGAGGTCCTCAAGTTCCCTGATGAGCCAAGGGGGTTGCTGCACCATTTTGCTACCCTTTCTCTAAGATAGGATGGCTATCCCTTGTGCTGTTGGGATCACTCCCTTGAGGAGCAACCACACCTCTTGGACTCCTCTACCTGTCGAGTCATGGTTCCTTAGGGACTTGACAATGAGCCTCCTGAGCTTGTCACAGTCAGCTTTCCTGAAGTCAAGGAATTCTCATGGTCACTGTCACCCATCTTTCCATCGATTCTTAGGTCACTGACTAGATCATCCCCTCTGGCCAGTACTTGGTTCAGCAACACCTTATCTCTTGTTGGCCTATAGAGTTCTTGGATCAGGTAGAGCTCATCCACACATGTGAGGAAGCTTTGCAGCCTATTGGATTTGGCTGAGTGCTCTTCCCATGAGCTGTCTGGGTAGTTAAAGTCTCCCATGACAACCATGCACTGAGAGCGTGCCACGTCAGCCAGTTCTCTGGCAAATTCCTGGTCCAGCTCTTGTTTCTGGTTAGAAGGTCTGTAGTAGACTCCAACCATGATGTCCCCTGTGCCATGTTTCCCACATATTTTAACCCATAGAGACTCCAGTTGTCCTTCCTGGGTGCCAAAGTCAATTTGCAGGGATGTGTAGCAGTCCTTGATATAGAGAGCTACACCCCCACCCCTTTCGTCTGCACGATCATGCCTGTACAGGGTATAGCCATTTATACCTGTGGTCCAGTCATAGGTGGAGTCCCACCAGGTGTCTGTTATCCCTGTGATGTCATAGTCATTCCTGTTTAGCAGGAGGACCAGTTCCTCCTGTATATTTCCCAAGCTCCTGGCATTTGGTATACAGTCAGGCAAGTGTAACTTTGAGGACCCTTGCCTTCCCCACAGATTGTTCCGGGGCTAGGGTAGGGGTGGGTTCCCTTGAGTGAAGAGGGAGATTTCCTGTTCTACAGTACCATTAACTGTTTGGTCAAGTAGTCTGTTCCTCAGGTCTGCCTTGCCACTAAGGGCTGGCCTGAGCCCAGCCCCAGGGAACATCCAGGGGCTTGAGTTCTGGGCTCCTGCCCTGCAGCCCTGCGCCCTAGCTCCCTCCCCCCAAGATCCCCCATTCTGACCTTGAAGATTTTAAATACTGTAAATTGTTTTCCCATTGTAAGTGAGCTTTTTTTAAATTTTTGGTGGGTAGGGAGGGTGGTGGAAGTGCTCTTTTGGTTGAGGAGGGAGGAGGTTCTGTTTGTTGATGGGGGATGGATGGGGCTGAGTCTTGTGAGGGTAATAAACCTTTTTTATTTCACCCATGTGTGTGTCCTGAGAGTAGTGCTGGAGGTAAACAGTGGGGTATGGGCTGTGTGGGTGGTGAGGCAGGCAGGCTAGAGGGAGGACCTCAAGAGGAGGGGGTTGGGCAGGGCCTCCCACAGCCAGTGCCCTGGCCCTTGCTGGTAGGTGTACAACTGGTCTGGAGTCTGGGGCAAGGGTGTGGTGCTGGGGCCAGCACCATGGCCAGTAGAAGCATGGGGCGCTGCTTTTCACTGACAGGGGCTGGAATGGAGAAGTGGGGCATTGGGCATTATTGGTGGGGCAGAGGCTGGAGTATCCCTGGCATAGGGAGGCAGGGTGGGCAAAGAAGGAGCTGCTGCTTGATGCCCTGTGCTGAGTACATGGCTCCTGTGCAGGGAGGAGGCTGGCCAGAGATCAGAGTTTCCCAGATAGCTACCAGGTTCTGGCAGCTGGCTGAGGCTTCAACATGGCTGCCAAGTTCTGGAAGCCATTTGGCTAGAGACTGGAGATCCCCCCGATGGCCACAGGGGTACATGGAAGGATTTCATAGATTTCATAGACATCAGGGCTGGAAAGGACCTCGGAAGATCATAGAGTCTAGCCCCCCCACCCGAGGGGCAGGAAGTCAGCTGGGGTCATAGGATTCCAGCAAGATAAGCATCCAATTTGCTCTTGAAGGTGTTCAATGTAGGTGTTTGAACCACCTCCGATGGCAGGCTGTTCCAGACCTTGGGGGCTCGGACAGTAAAGAAATTCTTCCTTATGTCCAGCCTGAAATGATCTTG